ACAAAATTATATTTATAAGTTTTTTTCTAGCATGTAAGATTTTTAAAAGGCTCTTTATATATTTACTAAAACTTGTTGCAAGTCGTTGACATGAACTTTGTAACTTATAACGTTAAGTTAACGTGAACCCAATTGACCACCAGTCATAATTTTATTTTTGTCTCTCAAATTTTTAGTTCAAAGAAAATTAAATTACAGCAATTTTTAGTATTGTTTAGTAAAAAGTGTTTTTAAAAAAAATTTCAGAAACCTATGCTAAATTTTAGATAAATTATTAAAAGTAAAAAAACAAATCTTCTGCAATGAAATATTTTCAATGAAATCAAAACTGCCTAGACCCTTTAAGTCATAATCATGTCTTACACTGAGAAAACCAGTGTGGTCAAAACACCCAGAACAGGCAAAAATTTACTCTGTTTACTGGATTTATGGGAACACCAAATGCCTCGATAATTTTGACCGAAGCGCTTTGGTAGTGATTTTGGTAAAATGAATAATAAAATATGGGTTCATTATATATGATAAAATTTAGTAATTGTGGTAAATGTGATAGTTTTATAATGCTTCCTTAAGACATGGCATAAAAACTGTTTATTCAGTTAAATTTACTTTTCAGTTTTGTATTTTCTACTAAGTATGTTGTAACAAGAATTATAATTTTGAAGACTAGAATTTGCTGTAAACCGTTAACATATGAACGGAAAAATTATCAAAACCGAATGGTATTGGAATGAATGGAAATGGTTTAGAAACCGTATAATCTGGTTCCAGAATTACGCCTTCTTTTCTTTTTTTTTTTTAACCAGAATTGTTATACAGTACTGTATTTTTATTAGATTTTTGTTTTCTCCGTGCTCAGTGCAGTCAATTATGTTTTTTTCTCCAGTTAAGTTAAAATAAACCGTAGGTTTTCGACTATCCAGTCTAATGTAGCGAAATGATAGTCCCCGTATGAGAAAAAAACCATGTCAATGCCATTTACCATGCCATTTACCATGTCAAAAAATATTTAAAGAATCTCAAACACAGAGTTTCCTGTTCTCGTCTTAATTTAAGGCTCCATGCCATNTGGTATTGAAATGAATGGAAATGGTTTAGAAACCGTATAATCTGGTTCCAGAATTACGCCTTCTTTTCTTTTTTTTTTTTAACCAGAATTGTTATACAGTACTGTATTTTTATTAGATTTTTGTTTTCTCCGTGCTCAGTGCAGTCAATTATGTTTTTTTCTCCAGTTAAGTTAAAATAAACCGTAGGTTTTCGACTATCCAGTCTAATGTAGCGAAATGATAGTCCCCGTATGAGAAAAAAACTGGATAAAATAATGATAAACTATTTATTAATTAACTAAACAAATGTGTAATTCAGCTAATAATAGCTAGTTCCTAAAAAATTCATTTTTAATAACTCCAATTGATAAAAACTTACATTTTTGCAGTAATAAATAATAGTTTGGCAATTTTATTATAATTTAACAATTTTTCAATGCTATAATATTGAGGTACTTCGCTGAATAAAAATGAACCTCGTTTTAACAAAAAGAAATCAACATTGGAACTTTTTTCACTTTTTTTTAAACTTTTTGATCATAAAGTCTCTAGTGGTTTTATTTACCAAAGTAACTAATAAACCTGTAATAAAAACCTGTAATAACAAAGTAACTAATAATTCACTAAACCTGTACAAAATCAAAAAATTCAATCAAATTTACCATGCCAAAAAATATTTAAAGAATCTCAACCACAGAGTTTCCTGTTCTCGTCTTAATTTAAGGCTCCATGCCATACATGAGCAATAAATGGTGCTGATTTCACCTTTAAGGGTTTTTCTTTAAGTATAGATATTCTATAAGTATCAATAATTAAATTGATTACAGTTTCAGAAATTAATATAGTAAAATGTAGTATTAATATCGTAAAATGGAAATGCAATATTGGAATGCTTAAAAAAATGACAGTTTTTTTAGAAATTTATTTATCTTAATTTCTCAGAAATAATACTAAGCAATATTTTTTAGTTAATTTATTGATTTTAAAATTGAAATAACAATAAATTTTTATTTTCGTCTGTTAAATTAGATTTATAATTATTTACTTTTATTAGTTTAAAAAAATTCAGAAAGCTTCATTTTAATGTTATTATTTTTTAGTTTTATTTTAGTGTTATTATTTTAATGTTTTATTTTTTAGTTAATTTATTGATTTTTTAAAATTGAAATAACAATAAACTATTATTTTCGTCTGTTAAATTAGATTTATAATTATTTACTTTTATTAGTTTAAAAAAATTCAGAAAGCTTCAATTTAATGTTAATATTAATTTAATGTTGGAAAATAGTCTAAATCTTTTTTTTTTCAATAACGGCATTGACTGAACTTTCTTCTTCGCCTTAGAAGATGCCGGAAGTGTTGCTCATTTATCGTTACCCAGTGAGCACCGGTGAACCAAAGTCACGGAGGCGAGCAGCATTATCCACGCCACACTGCCACAAATACCCTTTCATTGGGTAGGCCACATTCACACATCACACAACTGAGGACAGCACAAAGAGAAGCAACCATGCCCTGAGTGGGATTCGAACCCGTAACCGTCGGCTCCGCAGTCAGGCTCGCTAACCACTTGACCACCTGGTCGGCATATAGTCTAAATGTTGTAGTTGTAGTTGTTGTAGTTTATTTATGTCGCACTAGAGCTGCTCAATGGGCTATTGGCGACGGTCTGGGAACCATCCCCGAGGATGATCCGAAGACGTGCCATCACAATTTTGATCCTCTGCAGAGGGGATGGCACCCCCTCTTCGGTTGCCCGACAACCGTCTAAATGTGAAATTAAGTAAGAGAATCAGTTGTCAGATACGTTAAAAGAATTTTTAAGATTTAGATCCCAAAACAGATCCCCCAGACATATTTATTCTTTCGTATTTTAAATAACTTTTCTTTTCTGAAATACAAAAAGCAATATCGAGTGCAATGCAGTTTTGTCATTACAGATGCTTGAGCTAATAAAACTGTACAGAAATATGCATATATATATTTATTTCGTTTAATATATTCTACTAAAATATGTCAAGGGATAAGAGTCATCGCCAAGAGGCAGTTTCAAAATAAGTACAAACTGTCAAACAACTATAAATTTTAAGTTAAACATTACTTGAGCTAAAAACTAAAATGACCAAAATAATGCTCCCACATGCTGTTTTCTGTAGTTTCATATATATCTTAAAAAATGTCTTGTCCAAAGAAATTTCCTTCAAGTTACCTATTTAGACCTAAACAAACATCTTGCTAAACCCTTAAAAGAAATAATCTTGGGCCCAATAACTTAGTATAGTGACAGATTTAAAGAAATCCGCAGGTCAAAGTGTTCATAAAGTAGCAGTTTTATGTGGAAAGACATTTATTTTAAGCCGTAATCCTGTCATTTCACGTACTGGACTCTTTACTTTTTCATAATCCTGGGAAGAAGAAAAAAAGGGACTTTTTCTACATGGTCATTTTAGGAATAGTGAAAAGTCCTCCGAGCGCACTGATAAGCATTAGGAAGTAGATTCTAAAAGAAATATTTTGTAAGAATTTCTTCGACCGATGTATTTCTTCATTTTTAGTAAAAAGAAATTTAAAACTTTGATGAAAGAGAGAAGGTGAAATTGCCTTTAAATGGATTTTTTCTTGTACGAATTTAATGCTTTTCACGAAAAGATTATAAAATATTTTGCAGCTATCTGTTTAAATAAATTTTCACCTTAAAATATTTTTCATGATAATCTTGTTTTTTCTGTCTTGTTATACTATCGAATATTTCTTAATATAGTTAATTTTTTTATACATGACTTTAATATCATTTAGTAGCCCAATTGAATTAATCAAAGTAAAAATAAGTTTGCTAATTGCTTTTTAACTTATTAATTAACTGTAACTAAATAAAGCTCATTTATTATAATAGTAGTCTTCAGATAATTTAAAAAAAATTTCGAAAAAATGGACATCCATAAGAAAAAAAACAGTTCAAACCTGATACAGTTTTTTAAGTACCATCCTTATAGTAAGTTGTAAAAATTGCACGACCACAAATATTAAGAGGGAGACGAATCGAGGAAAATAGGGTGCAGCTTATATGCAGATATTTAGGAATGTAAGTTACTATTTTCAATGTAGTTTTTAAACTGAATCTAATTAACCAATCGGATCCATAGTTTTGAGGTTATAATGGTTTTATTCTCCAAAGGGAAAAAATTTTTCTTGTATCTACATTGAGGAAAAAAGATAACGGTCAACCAAAATATGGTAAAACTTATCATGCTTCTGAAGACGGTAAATTTCACCATAGAGGAAACACAAAAAAGCATGGTACATTTTACCGAAGCGATTTGGTAATATTAACAATAAAATGCAGTTTTATAATATATATGATAAAATTTGGTATCTATGTTAAAGTCTGTAATTTTATCATGATACCTTAGAGACTGGCATAAAAACGAATTATTTGGTTATATTTACCTTCAGTTTTATATCTTTTAATAAATAGATGATAATATGAACTATTTTGAAAACCGGAATTTCCGGTAAGCTTTACTTTATGAATGTGAACATTACTAAATGAATGGCTGACATTTGTACACTTTGTATTTTATTCACAGAAATATGTTTTTTTCCAGAAATATCATTACTATACAATGTGATAACTAACCATGAATTTTTTTTCTCAGAATAAATTTTATAATTTTTTGTATCATTAAATTAATATACAGCTCACAATGCTGTTAAATCGAAGTTGACTTATCATTTACAAGCAGAGGTAAAATTAAGGTATTATAAAATATTGAGTCTAAAAGTATGAAATAATTAAAGCTTCCAAGTCTATCGCAATGGCGTAAATCCAAGTGAACTTATTTACGTATATTTAGTTCTTTACTTTAATTTCTATTATCAGTATTGCATATTACCATAATTTCTGTAACTAATTTCTATTACTAATTTAAATTACTACATTTCTATTACCAGTGAAGCCACTAGGTGTCAGTTTAACACCACAAAGAATCAGCTTGACGGCCGGACGGAAAGTTGAACTTCGATGTTATTCCCGTGGATCTCGCCCTGCTTCTAGGATGTCCTGGTTCCTGGATAACGAACCTTTATCCAATCACACCGATTTACTATCCATGGATGGGAACCAAACAACCAGCATCTTGACATTCTATCCATCCAGAAGCGACCACAAAAAGTACCTGCGTTGCAGAACGGAAAATTTTTTGCTGAGTGGATCAGCTCTCGAAGATGGATGGCATCTCAATATAACGTGTAAGAATTCTTTTAACTTTTAAATTATATTACTTTACTTAAATATTGGATGTCGATTACTTGATTAAAAATTTCATTCTCTTCAGAAATATACAAGCCGGAAATAACAGTCAAGATGTTTTAAGCTCCTAAAAACTGGCTCCCATTTTCAAGACTTGCCAGACGTGAATGAGAAGAAACAAAAAAGTGATTCGAAATATATAACGTAAAGTTGCCACCGAAAATGGAAAAATGAAGGGGGGAAACAAAGATAGAAAAACTACTGTAGTCGAGAGGAATTTTTTTTTCTTTTTTGTTGCATGCCTGTTTAGGCATAGTGGGTGTGATTGTTCTTGTTTATTAGTGGCGCCATCTATGGCCAATAATTCGACTTCTGCCACACCATTCATTCAACCACAAACCCGTTTACAGGATGAGTCACATTCACATACACTAAGGAGAAATGACATAGAACACACAGAGAGAAAGAAACATCCATGCCTTGACCGGGATTTGAACCCAGAACCTTTCTGATGCAAGGACAGTTCCCTGCCCCCTACACAGACCGGTCGGCTGGATAAAAATATAAAGATTGAATAAGAAAAATCACGGTAAGTGAGAGGTTATTCCTGATTTGCCCCTCAGTGGTTTTTCTTGTTTTGTTTTTTATCTTTATTTCTCTCTCTCGGCTCCTGTGGTTTTTCTAGTTTTGTTTCTCACCCTTATTTTTTCTATTTTTCCATCGTTGGCAACCTTATGCTTTACATTTCAAATCACTGCTTTTTTCTTTCTCATTCAAGTTTTGAAAATGGGTGCCTGTTTTTGAACACTTGAAACACGTGGACTGTTGTTATTTACAATTCGTATATATTTGGAGCGAATGGAGTTTTTAATCAATAATGTATTACCGCTCCAGTTTCTAGGGTTTATTTATTTTACATCGGATGCCTATTTTATTGTATTCTCTTTTCAATAATAAAACATTCGAAACATTATTACTTTTTAGAATGTAATAATTTAAGAATAATTTGCATTAATTTAAACTTCTTTTCCCTTTAAGTCATTGCAATCTAAAAAATAAGTAAAAATAGTATAACATTTGCTATTAGCTGAAGAATTTATAGTATAACATTTGCATTTTCTATTAGTTAGAAATAAGGTACTTATTTTTTGTTTTTGTTTTTAAAGACTCCTAAAACTGCAGATACCTTTAATGTAAACTTACAGATTAAAAATAAAATTATGGATTTTAAGGTAAACGTTATTCTTTCATGGATCCGAAAATTTGGAAGACATAATTTAAAAAATGTATTTCAAATATTTAGTTTTTCAAGAAAACTATTTTATCTTCGGGTTGAGAGTAACTTATATAATACTTTATTAGTATTTATATATTTTATCAGTATTTATATGCCTTTTTTTCATGTTTCTTGAAAATCACCAACAATTATATACTATATATCATCACCATAATTATCATATCCATCTTATTAAATTTTTTATATTAAGTTTTGTTTATGCGGCATTTATTTTAATCTTTCACTTACTTTATAGTTACTTATAGTTTAGAAAACTGGAATTTTCAGTAAACCGTTACCATATGAACGGATAAAAACATTTATTCGGTATAATTTACTTTTTCAGTTTTGTATGTTTTGCTAAATGTGTAGTAATGAAAACTATAATTTTAAAAACCAGAATTTCTCATTAACATTTATCATAGAAACGGGAAAATCATCAAATAAAATTTTAAAAAAATTGAAAATTCCTCTTTAATGTTTAATATATCAAACAAAACGCTAATTACCAATGAAAGATCGCTTTTAACATCATTTGTTATGATTAAGAAAAAAATCATTACAATTCTATAAAAATATTTTAAGCAAATAATTAGAAGATAAAAAAAGAAAGCAGGGTATAATAACCAATTATTTATTACGAAAGTATTGACTTAACTATATTTTGATACGTAATTACTTGTTTAACAGGTAAATTATGTGTGGCGAGATTTCGCTATAAAAATTTTTTCATTTTAATAATTTATATAACAAAACAGTTTTAATTAAAGATAAAGATTCCGTTTTTATTTTAAATGAGATTAAATAATAAAGAAGAGAGCGCTCGCGCTTTCTATTCAGAAATTGGCGATTCGTGGTGTTAGTAATTTTCGTATCTAAGCCATTTGCATCTTTGAACGTTAGAACAGAAACTTTTGACATTTGTAACGAAATAATACTTGCTTTTGAATAAATTTCCGATTGCAGATGTCGAGAAACTGCAATTAAATAGCAATCAAGCGAGTTAGTGAGTTTAGTTTCCAAGCGTTATAAGTATTTTCAAATTTTGTTGAGACCTTCCACTCTTTCAACCTGAACTATAAAATAGCAACTACCAACTATTAAATTAGAAAATAGCATGAAAAGTGTCTAAAATTAAAACAGCAAAACTTTTTCGTCGCCAAGGAGGGGTTCAAGCTCATTCTATATATTTTAATATGAAAAAAAATAACTCTTAATAGTTGTAAGTAATTCTGAAAATCGCCACGAGACCAAATGCATATATTTTCCATTGGTCATAAGAATAGAGTTTTATTTTTCAAATATCAGGAAACATTGTGTTCGTGAAACTGGAATTAACCCCTTAACGATCGGTTAATTTTCAAGAAAACGGTCATAAAAGTGCCTATTTTTTTTATCTTTGAAAATTGATTAGTGCTGACATCTAGTTTAAAATTAACTAACTATCTACAATTATCCTAAAAATATCCTGATACTGCCATCTGGTGTGTAAAATGAGAAATAAAATGTTTTCCGGACAAAAGAAATGAATTACTTTTATTCTTATTAGCAAGTTACTACTGAACAATCCAGCCCGGAAATACCATGGGAGCGAGAAATAGAGGGCGAAACCTCATCCCGTCATTTTCTCGGGAGCGAGAAGGAAGTGGTTAAGTTTAGTTAAAATTTGTTTTGTATACAAGCTATTCACCGTACATTTCTTCGTGTAGAAAATATCACTTAAATTTCTTTGGTAATGCCAATATTGCAACAAATTTTTCAATAATTTTAAACTACTCCAGCCGATGTATATCAGCATTTACTTCATTTTATGTAATTTTCTTCGTGTTCATGTTTTATTTTTTATCTCCACTTCCTGAAATGTTTACATTAAAAATTTTTTTTGATATGATAATTGTATGATTTTGATAATTAAAAAAATGTTTCTAAATATAGACTATCTAAATAAATGTAGCTCAAATAATCATTATTTAATTTAGACATCCCTATGGTACAGCTATCGATTAGGAGTTCAACCAAACAACAATCTTCATTTCTGGAAGGTGATGATGTTCGTTTCATTTGTGATGTCAAGGCAAATCCACCTTCGAGTGATGTTGGATGGCTGTTCGAGGGGAGACCCCTCAATCCCAAGGACTCTGATCTAGTACTCAGTTATAAGAGTTTGTTGATAAGAAAAGTGAAAAAGAAGCATAGAGGGCGCTACCAGTGTTATGCCAATAATGCTGAAGGTACAGGAATGAGCAGGGTTATAACTCTAAGGGCAATGTGTAAGTATGTTTTAACAACAATTATTGTGTTAGCATTTTATTCAACAAAAAAAAAGAACCCGTGTAAGCATTTAATTACTATATACGCATGGATTTTATGTCTGACAATCAGAAAGAATTTATCAAAAATGTAACTAACCATTTTTGAAATTCATTTACATCTGTACATTACATCTATTCATTTACATATTTATAGTTTAGCAATCACGAGGTGTGCTCCCTACTCTCAGTAGCGTTACTGAAATCTCATCTTGAATATAGATGTTAATTTCCAGTCCATATATCTAGTAATGTGTTCCATTGTTACATGGATACGTTTTCATTAATCAGATTTAACTTATTCTCTGTAGTATTTTTTTTTAATTCCCCCTCCCCAGAAAGCATTTTTTAATTGCTGGAAATTAATGTATGTTCCATCCTAAATTCGAAAATGCATAGTAATTTCGTCAGACCAAATTTTCAAAACTAAGAATTGCTTAACGCAAAATTAGAAAGAAATTATTGAAACTATTATTTATTTCACTTGCAGTTTTCAACCTTATATTCTTTCAGATGTATTTAAATCTAAAAAGAGAGAAAAAGCAACAGTCAAATTTGCAAAATAAAGTAAGACGTGCACCATTTGATTAAGTTTGAATTTCTTTCCTATATTAGTCAGAAAATATTTTTTACAATAAAATTAATTGCTTCATTAGCAGATATTAATAAGAATTGTCTAAAAGAATTCTCGCATGAAGTGTTGAATGTGCTTAATTGTATTCAGTTTTTCACTCTTCGTTGTAAACTAAAAGAAAACAAACTGAATTGCTGATATGTTTGTTTTTGTTTTCTACCATAAGTTTTGCAAATGCTTTCATGACACTCAAAAAATCTTTAAAGTGAACAAAGCAATTTCCTTTATCAACTGAGTCAGGTTAGCTCCAGGGAATAAAGAAGATAAGCAACGTTCACTTTTCTCTAAAAAATAATATTCATAACATAAATATTTTGCAGAAAACTAAAAGTTCTTCGTAAATATCAACTCCCCTCCTCCAAAAAAAAAACTTTTTAATCTCTTAAAGGAGAGAAGAAGTTTCATTCTTATTGTTGACATAAACCCTTACACACACAGAAAAAGTGCTTGAAGTAAGATAGGTGAACAATGTTATATTTTTGGCAAATAATTGAAGATAAAAATTAAAAAAGCTTCTTTAAGTTATCTCAAAGAACTCTCGCTCTTTCTCTCTCTTTTTTAGGC